TAAAGAAAACATGTTCTTCCACTGTCTTTGGGCGTTCATGAGAGAATAATTGACTGGAAAGATGGTGCTTTTTGAAGGCTTTCAGTTCACATCTATTATAATTACATGGAAAATAGCGACTGGTGCATTATTCAAAATATTTCCTTTTGTTCCACAGACGAGAGTCGCTCAGTCAGGTTTAGAAAGACGAGTAAATGACCGGAATTTCTTCATTTCAGCACATTTACATGTAAAATATCTCACTTGTTCTTTCTATGCAAGTATTTAATACTGTATTAGACAAATATGCAACGAGAGAGTGATGTGTGTGTGTTCTTACAAGTGTTGTTGATTTGCACTCTCTGTTCTACACTAATTAGCTACACTCATATGCATCATGGATATTCATAAGCTAGCATGCAGAGTGGACAATTAATTTGCATGCAGGTGATAATTACTAGATTTGGGTGACGCCCTCTTGAGAATTGTCCAATGCTGTCTTACTTCACGTCTGACAGAGGCGGTAAAAAGAGTCGTGTCGATGCTCTGTGTGTGTGCGTGTGTGGAACAATACCATAATGCAATGGGACAAAAGCTGTTCAATTTCATTAACTGCAAAGTCATCAATGTGACGGCCGCACTGAACACACTCACACTTTAAGAAGGATCGGGGTGTGTGTGTGTGTGTGTGTGTGTGTGTGTGTGTGTGAACAGCAGACGCTAAACAGCTGCCGCTGTGCAAAGCTTGTGGGCATGACAAACACGAGCACGTGTGTGAACGCTGCCCTCTGACTGTCTGTCTCTAGAACGTCAGCCGTCCATTTCCTGATGAGCTGCTTCCACTTTTTTCACTCAATAATATTTTTATATCTCACTATAATCAGAAAACAGACATTAATTTGGACACAAGCTTTTAAAGATCATTAAAGTGAATGTGAACAAAAACCTTGGATGGCAACTAAACATAAAGTTCCTTAACAAAATTCATTATTATTATTATATTTGTATTACGCATACAGGTACAATCAATTTAGTTATAAGGAAGCCATTTTTGATTAAAATAATGATTTAAAAGAAACTTATGACTATATTTCACTATATACATTTTCCAAGTGAATCAAAAACTGAAAGAAGTACATACAAATTATTCTGACTTAAACCAGCGACCAAAGGAATTGCAAACCTGTCACAAATCTGAAGAACTCAAATAAAATGCATTTGCATTTAATACATTTAATTGAGTGTGCAGTCTTTTTATTTGAGCATAATCAGTGTTTATTTTGATCCTGAATGAATCGGTACGGTTTGGACGGCACACTGAAGGTGGTTCTGCTGACTAGATATGATTACTACACAAATGTGGAGTAGCTCAAATATTATTTAATAATTACTGGGAATGAAAAATGAAATATGCTCTTTCCCTATATGGTTGTGTTGTGTGGTTTGTTTATAACCACAATTAAAATAAATGCTTGAACATTTATATCAGTCAAGACGGTTAGCATATAATTATTATTTTTATTTATTACATTTTTAAAAAGTAAAAATCTCATAAACTTGACTTTTTAGCCTGAAACTTCAAGACATCCTCCATAAAAGTCATATGAACCTGACAACGTCTTCTTTTTAAATTCCATGTTGTTTTAAAAAGCTATAATAAGTGCACACTTAGAGAGTCGGTCTGACCCTCTTCATCAAGATGTACACGTAAGCTACATAATGGTAAACACGCACTCATCCTCAAGAGTGCTTGCAGAGACGCCTGACCTCACTTCCACAGGCTACGAGAACCAAGATGACATGGGAACTTTTTAGGGTTACGTGGGACACGACTGAAATGGTCTCAAACAGGGCCATGTCTGTCTCGGAGACAGATATAGTTTGTGCTTTTATTAGACGAAGCTTCCCCAGTGTAACTGTACAGCAGACAGACTCACACCCTCAGCTGACGCCTACAGAGACGATCCCTCATTGAACAAGAACCTCGAGCGCTTCAGACGCTCTAAACGGGCACGATCCTGAATTTAGCACACGATTTTTAAGTACAACACAACATTTAATTAGCTTGAACTTTATCCTCCACACTGGGCGGCTCTTTTTCCCATCGTCTCCGTGGGTCGATCAGGAGGTTTGGGAAGCTCTAGACTCTCGCGCTCTCTCTCTTTCTATGATTATTCCTGTCATTTCCCATCCGCTCCGGAACCACGCAGCACTAATTAAAGCCTGAAGCTGCAAACGAGCTGACAAGACTACCTCAGCAAAACCTACAGCCGTGCTAAAACACGTGACCACAGACTGAACACACTGAGCTCTGTGACACACAGACGCCTCGTCATTTCAGTCAAATCACCATACATGCAAATGAGGCGATCGCACAACATGCAAACAACAACCTGCCTGGCAGCCAAATGCAAATACTGATCTAACAATCATCTTCATAACACGCCGAACTAATTAAACATCAGAATCACAACAGCAGAACAATGACGTTACACAATGACCAGACAAAAGAACACTGATCATGAGATACGTGTTTAACATCCTCTCTGCACTTCAGTGTGCTTCAAATCTTAAATGTATATTCCTAAAAAACTGTACTTGCAGATAATATGTGAGCCTGGAGCACAAAAGCAGTCTTAAGTCGCTGGGGTATATTTGTAGCAATAGCCAAAATGATCAATTTTTCTTTTATGCCAAAAATCATTAGGATATAAAGTAAAGATCATGTTCTGTGAAGATATTTAGTAAATGTCCTACCGTAAATATATCAAAACGTAATGTTTGATTAGTAATATGCATTGCTAAGAACTTCATTTGAACAACTTTAAAGATGATTTTCTCAATATTTAGATTTTTTTGCACCCTCAGATTCCAGATTTTCAAATAGTTGTATCTCAGCCAAATATTGTCCTAACAAAGAGCTTATTTATTCAGCTTTCAGATGATGTATAAATCTCAATAAAAAAATATATATATCTTATTAATAGAACAAAAGACAACTTAAGTGACTGTGAAACACACTTAAGCACACTTTTAAAAAGTGACTTTTGTAATAATGGCAAATTAAACATTTTATTTTAAATAAATATGTTTTAATAATCTTTTATATAGTCTGTTATATTTGAGTTGATCTTAAATGCACATTCAGCAGTACTTTAACCATATTTCAAAGACAAGAGTAATACTTATGAAATTGCATATAAAGATGTACTTAAGTTCTACTTAAGTGGGTCAAAAACACTAAAGTTCAGCTCGATTTATATTTAATATAAATCCAAACTGTATAAAAAATTCATTTAAACGCAATTAATATGCAATTGTCTAAAAACATTACATTCAGTTCACACTTAAGTCTATTATTTTAAAGTCTATTATTTCTGCCATAAGTATGCTCAAGTGCACTTCTTTTCCACATACAGTATATCATCATGTCTCTCCTCTTATGAAATTGGTAAATATTAGTGCTGTCAAACGATTAATCGCGATTAATCGCATCCAAAATAAAAGTGTTTATTTACATAATATATCCGTGTGTACTGTTTATATTTATTATGTATATATAAATACACACACATACAGTATATATTCTGAAAATATTTATGTGCATTTACATGCATATATGTACATTCATATAATTTATATTATATATACATATTTTTAATATATAAACGTAACATATTTTTCTTGCATGTGTGTGTATTTATATATGCATAATAAATATACACAGTACACACATATATTATGTAAACAAAAACTTGTATTTTGGATGCGATTAATCGCGATTCATTGTTTAACAGCACTAGCAAATAATAGTAAATATAAGCACTAATTGAAGGGTCTTCAAATGTTTTGTTTTAAATCAGTTTTAGCCGTGGTTTACTGTGTGTGTTCATCTAGTCCTGTAATGCACATCGGTGCTGGTTATTTTCCAGCATCCTTTTTTTGATTTTTACACCTTGACTGTAAAGCTTTTAGGTTTGACAGGCCGCTCTACAGACTCTGGAGATTCTGCATCACGATCAGCTGTGTTCGGTTCAGATGGAGACAGAGAGCAGGCAGTTAAAGTGAGACTTACACTCGGCGCTGGAGAGCAGGACACAGGCGGTGAGCAGCAGGAGACAGTGTCGGACGGAGGGTAACGCTACACAGACGCTTGGCACAGGCATGATGTTACGACTCACCCGCGGAGTGTGCCAGCTCACAACGCTCCTGCAACGCTCTCACAACCTGCAGAGAGAGACACACACACCAGAGCAATCAATCCATCAGAACACAGAGTAATCATCAACACACGGCTTTGCATTTTAAAGCACAACACGACAGGTCTTTTCATGCACTGCTCAGTTTTGAGGTCTGTTTTGCTCCAAGAAAGAAATAAAAGGGAAAGAAATAAACCAAAACACACATTTAAGCGTTTATTGTGAGCCTGCAGCACAAAAGCAGTGTTAAGTCGCTGGGGGATATTTGTAGCAATAGCCAACAATACATTGTATGGGTCAAAATTATTGATTTTTCTTTTATGCCAAAAATCATTAGGATATTAAGTAAAGATCATGTTCTGCGAAGATATTACGTAAATGTCCTACCGTAAATATATCAAAACTTAATGTTCTGCATTTTTACTTTCTCAAAAAAACTCATTCTGTATGATTTATAAGCTTGTTTCCTCATGGGGACCTCAAAAATGTCCCCACAAGGTCAAAATTTACTAGTATTACTATCCTTGTGGGGACATTTGGTCCCCATAATGTGATAAATACCAGGTACACACACACGCACACGCACACACACTAGGGTTGTGACGGTGAGGACATTTTCCCACCGGTTAATCGACGTGTGACAACACCGGTAATACCATTATCACTCGTGTGGGCGGGCGTTCCTTCTTTTCCTCGCTTCCCTTCGCTTTTAAATAGCTTAAAAGCACCGTGCGCATTTTACTTTCACTTTCGAATTAGCGGCAGTGTGGCGTCAATTGCTTGAAAGCAACAACAAAATACAACGTCAAACTCACTTATATAAATCGCAACAAAGCTGAAGAGCAGCTCAGGAAAGAGGTGTGTGTGTCTGTATCAGTGTGACTGTTCAGAAAAATGTGTGTTAAACATACTTTATTAATGTGTGTGTGTGTGTGTGTGTGTGTGTTTAGGCGAAAGACGGTGGATTTATGGTTAGAGTGTCCAGCAATACAGGGACGTACACTGTGTCACTGTACACCAGGAATACAGCGTGAGACACACACACACTCTCTTACACACACACACACACACACACACTCACACTCACACTCGCACACACTCTCTTACACACACACACACACACTCTCTTACACACACAC